GCTGGGGTGTTCACCAGTGAACCCTGGAGGGATAAAGAGGGAAATGATGGGGCAGCCCGGGGAGAGGGGACACCTGTGTCCCCACGCCTCCACATCCACCACGGAACTCCAAGGAGTCTGAAATTCTGAATTCAAACCCAGCTGGCCAGGTTGTGATGAAGGTGCATTTGTTATGGTGGGAGGGCAGAACGCATTGCATTTAGCAATTCCTCAGCTTGATTTATAACTGGAATACATAGACATATGGCACGTGGGCGTCCGTTTCTCCATGCCTGACAGTACTGTGTCCATGACCTGCTTCCTCCACTCCTGCCCTGCCCACTCTCTCCACTCTCCTACCTGCACCCCCGTCCCTGAGTCCGACCCTCTGACCCAGCCAGGGCCTGGGAAACTCGATTCTCCTGGCGCCAAGATCAGATACTGTCTGCCAGGGTCAACTTTCACTCCAGCTCCTCTGGGCCACGGTGGGGCGTGGGTTTGGAGAGGATGTCCTCTGGCTGTGGATGGGTGCATTTCCATGTGTCCAGCCTCAGGGGTGTGCTCCACATGTGGCCCACAGGCAGTGTGTGCTTAGCACGTGGCAGGTGCGTGCTCTGAGCATGCAGAGGACGGAGCAGAGTGTGGCAGCTCCCCAGGTGGGTTGGGGACTGTCAAAGGGCCCCTAACAGGCCCCTCAAGCCCCGCCTCCCCAACCCTCCTAGTCTCACCTTTGGCCTCTGCTCCCCACTCAGCCACACTGCCCTTCACCCTTCATCCGGGTTCTTTTCCCCCTAGGCCTTTGCTCAGGACGGTCCCTGCACCTGCACCAGTCCACGCCTTGGCTTGACCACGTCCTAGTCTTGCTCAGGTCCGGTCTTAAATGCTACCTCCTCAGGAGGCCTTCTGATGGCCCAGAAAGCTCCCCTCCCCTCAATGTCAGGTTCCTTGCAACACAGAAGCAGCCTCCTTCAAAACACACAACAAACGTGCTCTTTGTGGATTTCATGTCTGTCTGCCCCGATCAGCTGCAAGCCTCCCAAGCAGGATGGGTCTGGCTGATTCACAGCTGTATCCTCAGGGACCGGCACACGGCAAGTGCCAAGGAAATGTCAGTTCCCTCTGCCCCCTCCAAGTCATCCACACTCTGCCTAGGATGTCTCATTTATCCCCTAATAGTCTTTGGCCTCCATCTCCAAATCTGAGAAATGGGACCGCTATGATGCATCCCGGTGTGTTCAGAGGAAGAGACAGAGCTTAATCGTGGGGAGTGGGCTGTCTCCCCGGGAAAGGCTACGTCTGACAAAGAAAGGGGCTCTCAGAGGCCAGAGACCAGCACCACGTCCATGCTGGGATAGAATGCAGAGGAAGGAGCTGAGTGCCATGGCTCTCGCCTCTATTTCTAGCACTTTGGGAGGCTGAGGTGTGTGGATCGCTGGAGGTCAGGAGTTGAGACCAGCCTGGACAACATGATGAAACTCCATCTCTATTAAAATACCAAAATTAGCTGGGCATGGCGGTGCATGCCTGTAATCCCAGCTACTCGGGGAGCTAGGGCAGGAGAATCACTTGAACTTGGGAGGTGGAGGTTGCAGTGAGCTGAGATCGCACCATTGCATTCCAAGTCTGGGTGACAGAGCGAGACTCTGTCTCAAAAAAAAAAAAAAAAAGAATGTGGTGGAAGGGACAAGGGCATTGGGGCAGACAGGAAGCCTGGGGGTCGGGGGGGTACGCAGAGTCATGGGGAAACCTAAAACCCTTCCCCCCAGGCTGCTCCTTGGGCTCTGGGCAGAGGGTCGCTCATCAGGACCCCTACCCTACCCTGGATGGAGAAGATCCCCAACCGGTGCCCCCATCCTGGTGCACCTCCCAGCCCACACCATACCAGGGGGCTTGCCTGTCTATGCCCAGGCAGGGATAGAAGCAGCGTGTCCTCCATGCGAGGCCCTGCTCTGAGTGCTTCCTGGGGATTGTTTCAACACTCATAATCTCACAAGGGCTGTGCTATTATTATCCCCATTTTACAGATGAGGAAATAGCAGCTGGGCAGGGTTTGGGGAACATGCCCAGGGATTCTCTGCTTGTAAGTGGCAGAGTTGAGCTTCAAACTCAGCAGGTCTGACTTCACAGCATGCTCTCGGCTCCTCTGCCACATTCCCACCGGACTTGGCCTGTCCCAGGACAACCCACTCTTGGCCCTAAAGGAGCATTGGGGTGGGGGGTGTAGCGGGGCGGGGGTGATAAAGAGGAGCTAGAGGGACAGCGAGGAGGTCCCCTTTGGCCTAGGGCACCAGGCGTCTGTTCATGAAAGGCTGGCGTGTGCTAGGTCCACAAACACTCCCCCGTCTACACTTACCCCCAGGATGAGCTCATCTACTCTCGGGTTTAAATCCCATCTCTACACCAACGACTTCCAAATTTTTATTTCCAGCCCGCCTTCCCCCTGAGCTCCCGACTTGCATCACCAAACTGCCAGTTGACATCTTCCACTCAGAAGTCTAACAGGCATCTCAGGCTCAATATGTTCAGAACCAAACCCTGGTCTTCCCCCGTCCCCCCAGTCTGCTCCTCCTTACTCTTCCCGACTCTGTTAATGGCACCAACACCCACCCAGGAGCTCAGGTCAAAATCCCAGACGTCATCATTGATTCCTCCTTCCTCACCCTCCACATTCATCCTCCAGCAGGACTTCCTCCAAAATATATCCTGAAACCCACCCACCGTTCTCCTTCTCGTTGCAGCTAAAGCCCTCGTTCAGGACCCCCACTACCCTCTGCCCACTGCAGCAGCCTCCCCACCAGTCTCCTGCCTTTTCCCTCACCCCCTCCCCAAGTCACACCCTTGCTAGAATCAGCTCAAGTCACTCCACTACTAAAAAGCTTCCCACAAGAGAGAAAATAAATCCAAACTCCTCACTCCTCGTGGCCTAAGGGCTTTGTAGATCTAGCCCCTGCCTGTCTCTCAGGTCCCGTCTCCCCCTTGCTAGCCAAACACCAGCTACAGGGGGTCCTTTCTGTTCCTCAAAGGCACCAAATTCTTTGCTACCCCAGGGCCTTTGCACCTTTCCCTCGGCCCGGAACTCTCCCACCCCGGCAAGTTACACAGCTTCTCATCCCTCGGTTCTCATCTCAGATGCCACCTCCTCCTGGAGACTTCTGACCTCCCTTGGGAGAGCAGCCCCGCTCCCCTCCCTGACGTTGACCACATTTTCCAGTTGTCTTCTGAGTTTCTCCCTCTGCAATGCAGAGCCTTGGTCTTTTCCACCATAGTGCCGAGACATCGTGCACCCTCCACAAATGTTTACTAAATGACTGAATGAATTAGCCTCAGTTTTCCCTTCTGTAAAAGGGAAGGGGGTGAAGAAATAGTATAGACCCAGACAAGTTCTAGCAGCATCCCAGGCAGCTGCAACGCTACCTCCATTGCAGAGCTGACAGCAAGATCCTCCTGAGCGCCCAGAAGCCCAGATGGACCTGGGGCAGCCCTGATGCATTTTCCTTTGAAGCATTTTCCATGGGGGATTGGCTCCTGGAAAGCCCCAGGAGACAGAATGGCTGTTACTATGCTCACTAGGCTGGGGACTGAGCCCTGTTGGAGAGGTCAGGAGCCCTTGAAGGAGCTGTCAGGCTGAGATGGTGGAACCCACTGAGCCTCAGTTTTCCTGGCCTTCTCACTAGCTTTCAGGGGATCATGAATGCTTTCCTGCCTACTCCTTCACATCAACCTAAGCCCCCTCCCCTGCCCTGAGCCTGCATCTGGACACCCTGCACATCCTCCTGCGGGGACCATGGCCAAGGGCATTGGGGTGCAGAGGGCAGCCAGAGGGCCCAGGCCTCCTGGGGTACAGTCCATACCCTGCTCTGCCACTCAGCCAGCAAACACTTGCTGAAATCTGCCGTGGTCAGGGCTGGCCCCTGCATCATGGGCTCCAGGAGGGCAGGGGCTGGGCATGCAGGTCCCCAAGCCTAATTGGCTATCAACGCCCTGTCCCACATGTTTACAAAAGTACCTTTCCACCCATGAACTCAGTGGAGCCCACAGTCACCTTCTCAGGAAGGCAGGACAGCGGCTGTCAGCATTCCCATTCCACAGGTGGGGAAATGGAGGCCCACCCACCCGCTCGTCCCTGTGCCTGGTGCAGGACCCGGCTCTCAGAGGATGTGCAGCGTCAAGATTAGGAACTGGGCTTTGGAGTCTAACAGCTGCTGCCCTTCCTGAATGTGTGACCTTGGGCAAGGCATCTAACCTCCAGGTGTCAGTTTCCTCATCTGTAGGATGGGCATCATGGCACCTGCCTCTTGGGAGCTCCTGTGAGCCTATGACTGACTCAGCTTAGGGGGGTGCATAGGATGGGCTCAGTAGATGGGGGCTGAAATCACCAGTTGGTCTCTTCCCTACCCCAAGCCTGGAGCACGCAGCCTGGCGTGGGGCAGGAATTCAGCCAACATTCAAAGGAGGAGAGGTAGGAATATGGTTTCTCCACTCTAAACTGTTGGCTGTCCCTGACTGCCGGCCCTTGGGGAAGGGGCTCATTGCGTGTCTCTTGCCTGGGTCTCTGCAGCTCTGGGGGTCATGTGATCAGAAGAGGGTTCTGCAGGAGCCATCGGAGAGACAGATGCCTCCCCCTCTGCTGACCAGATAGGCACGGCCGCCCCCACGGTGGCATTCCAACATCCCACACATACGTGGCTCCAGTCAGGCCCTCTCCCTCTCACCTCTAGGGCTGGCATGGGTTTCCCAGGACATTTGAGGGGCAGGAACAACCATCCAGTCCCACTGTCCCTGTTAGAGATGGGGACACTAAGGCTCAGAGAGGGCAAGTGACTTGCCTGAGGTTTTGCAGCAGAACCTGGCTTGGACAGAACTGCTGTCCCTCTGCGGAGAAGGACCCCTGCCTCCCTCTCCCATGTGCCAGTCACTTTTTTGGCCCTGAAGGTCATTGGAAGAAAGCAAGGATTTCTGAAGAAGATGGGGGGGAGATGAAAGAGGGGGTCAGTGTAAACTCTCTCACTTCATCTCCCAGTCTGCCCAGCCCCCCATCCCACCTCCAGTACCTGGAGAGCTCCTATCTTTCCTCTCTCTCCTCAGCACCAGAAAAACTGTTTCTTCCTCCCTCTGGGGGTTTGGGGAGAGCCTGGGGGTCACGACCCTGCCTGCCCCCGTAAACCCAGGACCCTTTGTCTTTGTGGTTGCTCCCCTCTCCGCCACCTAGGCCTCCCAGCGCCTTGTGGGATCAGAGGCGGGAGGGGGATTAGGTTCTGCAAATGGCTCCCCCCTCCCGCCATCCCTGTCTTAGTCATCTCTGCCCTCTGCCGCCTCTCCCTCCATCACGATCCCTCTGGCCAGGCCAAGGGGGAGGGCGACACTGAGAGGCGCCCCCCACCCAGGGGCCGTGGCGAAGCAAGGGGCCGGCTGCTCAGAAAAGGATAAGAAGTGGTTTCTCCTCCCCTCTTCCTTTCCTCATCCTGCAGCCCGCGCCTCCCCCCTCCGCCGCGCTGCGCACGGATGGCGGCGGGAGCCGCAGAGGTGTGTGTGTGCCGGGGGGAGGCCGTACCGGGTCCTCGATGCCCAGGGGACTACGTCCTCTTCTAGGGACTGGGGTGGGGGTCTGACCCCTGCCACGGCCCAGGAATTCCCATGGGGGTAGGAGGATGTCCTCCATAGAGTCCGGTGGGGGGGCCGCTGCCCCCGGGTGCTGCCCGCTCCAAGGGACTCCCGGAGCCCAACGGAGGCGCTGAGTAATGCGGGCTCTCTCCATGCCCATGTTGGGGGCGGGGGGCAGCCCTTTGACCGGGGCTTCTGGCAGAGGGTTGTCTGCCCTAAAGGATGGGACGGAGGAGGGGGCGTGATTCGGCAGCCCGAGGCTTGACGACGTTTGCAGACTAGCGGGCGGCGCTGCTGCCCGGAGGGGCTCTCGAGGTGGGGAGGGCCGCCTCGCTCCGGCTGGGGGTGGGGGGCGCGCCGGCCGCGGGTGCAGCGTCGGGGGCTGCGAGGTCGCCGCGCCGTCGGTGCCCCGGGCAGGGATTCCGGGGATCCTGGGGGTCGGGGGTCGGCGCCTGAGGGCGCGCCGCGCCTACCTGCCTACGAAATTCTCGAGCACCGAGCTCTTGCCGGCGCTCTGGCCGCCCACCACGGCGATCTGCGGCAGGTCGAGGTCCGCGTTCTGGCCGATGGCAGAGAAGGCGTCTTGCAGCCGGTTGACCAGCGGGATGAGATCTTCCATGCCGCGGTTGCCCATGGCTGCGGCGGGCCCCGCAGGCTGCGATCCGGCCGCCGCTCGCGCTCCCGGCTCCGACTCCGGCTCCGCCGCTGCAGCCTCGCGCCCCGACTGCCTGAGCCGCGCGGCCCCCGCCCCTCGGGGATCGGAGCGAGCACCACTCCTGGAAGCCGCTAGGGGGAGCCCGCGACGCTGAGGGCCGGCCGCCGTGCGCAGGCGCCGCCCGGGGCACCATGGGTGTCGTAGTTTTAACCTTCTGCGGCTTTCGGGGTGCTTTAGCAGTGTCTAGGGTGCGCGGACGAATGCTGCGCAGAATATATTTGTCAATGGGTGGGGTCTCACTCCTAGTACCAGGCCTCTTGGATAGTGGTCATGGCTGTTTCACTCTATCTTAACCGATGAGGAAACTGAGGCCTGGAGAGTAGATGGGCTTCCTCTGAGGTCACAGCTTCCTGACCCGGAGTTCCCCTTCACCTCGCTGCCTTCGACCCCTAGATCCTGACTCTGATCTCCAACATGTCGCTTTCTGCCTTTGGTCCTCAGTTTCCTTGTTTCTAGAAGGAGAAAGTTGGAGCATGAATTCAACAAATATTTTCTAGGTACCTGCTAGAAGCCAGGCCCTGTCCTAGGCACTGAAGATTGAGCGACGAATAAGACAGCCAAGGCCTCTGCCCTCATAGATCTTGCATCAAGCTGGTGAGACCGACACTAAATGAATAAGCAGATACATGAAATAGTAAAAATGAAAATAGTGGGCCGGGCGCGGTGGCTCACGCCTGTAATCTCAGCACTTTGGGAGGCCGAGGCGGGCGGATCACAAGGTCAGGAGATCGAGACCATGGTGAAACCCTGTCTCTACTAAAAAACAGAAAAAAATTAGCCGGGCGCAGTGGCGGGCACCTGTAGTCCCAGCTACTCGGGAGGCTGAGGCAGGAGAGTGGCGTGAACCCGGGAGGCGGAGCTTGCAGTGAGCCGAGATTGCGCCACTGCACTCCAGCCTGGGCGACAGAGCGAGACTCCGTCTCAAAAAAAAAAGAAAAAAAAAAAAAAAAAAA